TCTGCGTTCTCTACGTACCGTATACTCCTCCTCCTCCTCCTCCTCCTCATCATCATCATCATCATCCTCATCCTCATCCTCATCCTCATCCTCATCCTCCTCCTCCTCCTCATCATCATCAGCATCATCATCAATATCATCCTCCTCATCCTCCTCGCCCCGTCCTACTCATCTACCTCATCCTCGTCCTCCACCTCCTCCACCTCCTCATCGTCCGTACGATTATCAAAACTAGAATCCTCCTTCTCATCCCCAACCTCCTGCCCCTCCTCTCTGGCAACATCATCCTCTGCATCATCACCCTTATCAAGTTCCAATCACACATGGACTATCTCATGCCTCTATACACAAACACCTACACATACATGTCAACCATCTACACATATGGATAAGCGTGTATGTGCATATCAGTAGGTATACTTTCTTGATGTCTACAATCTGGGACCTGCGATCCTGGGACCATCTGGATCCCTGGCCCCGGCGGCTCACTGGACGCCCCTGTCGAAGATCCCCCGGGTTTTTGGGAGCTCCCGGAAGCCCATGCTGGGTCCAGGCAGCGGGCTCAAATCGGTCAGGAGGGCGGCCGAACGGCCCCCCGAGGACCACAAGAGGCGCCAAACACTCACCAGACGCCCAAAGACGACCCAAAGAACACCCCCAAGAGGCTTCCGAAATACAGAAAAACCTCGTTTTCCATTTGTTTCTGCATGATTTGGGGAATGCTATGTTTTTCGGTTTCCTAAGCGTCCGAGACCGCCCGAAAAGCTCGAAAATCACGCTTAAATCATCCGAAAGGCCTTCAGGCAGTCCAAGAAACCCCCAAAACGGCCCAACAAGGCCCCAAGATGGCCCGAAGAAAGGCCCATGACGGCCCAAGATGGCTCCAAGACGCCATCCGACGCATTCCAAATCGTGACCCGGCCGGCCGTCCAGGGAGGCCGCAGTTGGAACCAGGGTGGCTCGAGGAATCCCCTAGAGGTCCCCAGAAGGCGCCCAGGGGGCCTCCAGAAGGCCCCAAGACGCCAGGTAAAGAAGAGAGCCTCCGCAAAAAGAGCAGAAGAACATGGGGAATATTTCGTAAGGGAGGGCGAGAATGAGGAAGGGAAGAGAAAACATGAGGGAAGGATGCCGAATTACATTATTATGGCGACGATGCCGGACAAGGCAACGAGGAGTGATCGCGATTTGTTATGGTTCACCTTCCTGCCCTTCCGCCGCGACGTCCGCATGCATGCAAATATTCAAGGACCCAGGTGCACGGCGAGAAGCGCCGATGAGTACGTTTAGTTCTGTATATATATATATATATAGATAGATGGATGGATGCGTATATATATATATATACATATATATGTATATATATATATGTATATGTGTGTGCGAATCGGCACGTGCATGCATGCATGGACGTACGTATTATTACATATATATGGCTATATGTGTATATGCATCGATCCCTGCATCCGTGCGCATGTAGGTGCATAGAGACATATCATCATGTAAATATTCAAGTATGAGCTTATCATCGCAACCCTATCACATCTATGAGCCTAAAAATTATCGTGGATAGTCATTTTTTGATCCCCCCCTCCTCCTCCTCCTCCTCCTCCTCCTCCTCCTCCTCATCATCATCATCATCATCATCATCATCATCAGCATCATCATCATCATCATCATCATCATCATCATCATCATCATCATCATCATCAACATCATCAAATAATCATCACTATCATCAGCATCAACAGCATCATCATCAGAGGCATCATCAGCATCAGCATCATCATCAGCACCGTCGTCATCATCATCATCATCATCCACCACCACCGATTCGTCTCCTACTCCTGATGGCTATTCCTTCTCCGCCTCCCTCTCCAAGCCTCCTCTCTAGCTTTGCTATGCTGTCGTCCTGCTCGCGGAAGTTGGTCTCTTCTCACCCTCGCTGCTCTCATCCCTCTCTCCCTACCTTCCTCCCTCGCTCCGAAAACACCTCTTCACCCCCAACCCAAGCCCCACCGCCCCTCACCCACCCCTGGGTTCATCCTGCGCCCCCACCCTACGTATCTCCTCGCCCTCATCCACCATAGTCCCTCTCCCCATCCTCCTTATCCTCCTTCATTCCGCCCTCCTGTGTGTCCTCCTCCTCTTCCTCCTCTTCCGTATCGCCCCTCCTTATCCCCCGCCCGCTCGTGCTCCTGCTCTCCCTCCTGCTTCTCATCCGCCTCATCCTTCTCCGCACTCTGCCCTTATCGTCTTCTGATGTATGCGCCCGGTCGCATCGCTTGTCGTAGATTCAAATGCCCTTCGCCAGGGCACCGAAGGTCGACAGGTCACCACGTGCAAGTTCGTTCCCGTTTCAACTGGTTGCGTTGGTTGTGCTAAATGTCTGTAATACGCAAGTGCACGCGGCTGTCAAAACTCACGACGAAACACATACACATGTCGAGAGATATTGTCGTCACGCCAACTACTGCCATCTGATGTCGCACAATTCATGTATCCAACCCCCTATCTTCTCCAGGACGCGAAACAATAAGTTGAAGGTCCAGCTTCGCTAGACCAGGATCCCATTAGTTCCGCTGGGCGAAGCACAAGCTACAACGAGCACAGACATCCAAGATTCAGCAGACTACCTGATCATACTGTTCAGACAGTGAGGCTCGATCCACCCAATCGTGTAGACCGAATGGCCAACACAACATCGTTGAACCTGACGGCAGAAGCTGGGTGCGGCTTAGAAACCACGGTGTTCTGCACAAGATGTTCCAGCTGCGACGATCAACGTGAGATCGGCATATCGAGCATGCAAAGCTGAACGACATTTTATCTACGAAGTCTCACGCGACGGTCAAGAGACGCCGTGTGAACCTGAACATTGAATGATGCCCAGGACGTCAAGCAAACAGCCAATCCGGACGAAGCCAAGCGACAGAGCCAACACATATAGGTATAGGCGATGTCGGAAACTCTGAACCCAAAAACGTTTTCATCTCTTTGGGGGGCACTTCTTTTACTTCCGCCGCCTTCCGCCGAGCTTCCGCTGGCTTCCGCCGGCGGCGGCGGCCTCGTTTTACTTCCGCCGACCTTCCGCCGTCCTTCCGCCAGTAAGAGATGACAACTACTTCGATCCTCGAAGGCACGGCCCTTTTTGGAACGCCTCATATGCTCTCTCCTCTCCTTCCCTTCCGTCTCGTACGCGCGCCTGTCCGTCCACCGCCTTACTGAACGCGCCGCGCTCCCTCGCCTTGGCATCGTATCCCTTCAGCTCGCCGGCCCGTGAGCCGAACAAAGCACCGGGCACGAATTTGAGCTGTCGCTCGACCTCCTCCGACAGAGTCTTGATGCCAGGCTCGAAGGCATGCGATCTCACGGCCTCCCACCCCGCAGAGCACACCAAGGAGGGGGAAAGAGGGAGAGGAGGGGGATCAGAATGAGGGAACGCGAGCAGCAGGAACGCACAGAACGAGCACGATGAGCACAGCGAGGGCACAGCAGGAGGATGCGCAAACGAGCAGCCGCAGCGGAGAAGCAGGCGACAGGAGCGCGATGGCTTCCAGGAAGCGTGAAACCGTCCGGCACACAGGCAGGAAAGCCTCGTCAGAGACGGCCAGGCCCCATGGCGGTCCCTGCCGACGGCGACTGCGCCTGCGCCCCGCCCCGTGCACCCTGCAGGTGCCGCGGGCCGGGGCCGCAGGGGCCACCGGCAGCCAGGAAGCAGACCGCGCAGCAGCCCCCTCCGGGCCCGAGCGCGCCCAGAGCCCCCGGCCGCCGAGGCCCGACGCTCGGTCGGCCATCGCACGTCGATCGACCGATCGTCGATCGATCGACGCTCCATGGCCGATCGACCGACCGACCGATCGATCGACGCTCGATCGATCGCCGATCCCTCGGCTGGCGAGCCTCGCGGGGGCGGCCCCTCTGCCGCTCCGCGCCCCGCGCCCGCGGGGCATCCCCGCTGCCCCGAAGGGCCCCGGGGAGCCCCCCTTGCCCGAGGCGCGCGGCGCTCGCCGCCCGCGCGCTCTCCGCATACAGCCGGGCGCTGGCACGCCGCCGCGCCGGCTGCCCCCGGCGCGGCCCATGGCGCCGAGGCCACGGCAGGCCCACGGCAGGCCCTAGGAGGAGGAGGAGCAGGAGGAGGAGGAGGAGGAGGAGAGGAAAGGAGAAGGGGGGAGGAGGAGGAGGAGGAGGAGGAGGAGGAGGAGGAGGAGGAGGAGGAGGAGGAGGAGGAGCCCGCGCCCCGGGGAGCCGGCGCACAGGCGCCGCGGGGGAAGCCCCACGGCGGGCCCACCGCGCCAAGAGGCGGCGTTGGCCCCGGTGCCTGCGGTGCCCTCCCTCGAGGCGCGGGGCCGCGCGTCGGAGCGGACGGCGCGGCGGCATCTGTCGGAAGGCGAGCGAGGGGGGGAGGCGAGAAGGAGAAGGCCTTCGCAGAAGGCGGAGGCATTTCTGAGAAGCCCTCGCGCCTTCTGAGAAGCTGGTTCTGCCTTCGGGGGACGGCGTAGAAAACTTCTCAGAAGGCCGGGGGACTTCCGAGCCTTCTGAGAAGGCCTTCTCCTTCTCACGTCCCCCTCCCCTCGCTCGCCGCCGAATCCTGACAACGCTGGACGTTTCTCCCCCGTCTTCGGGATCGTCGGTCTCTGTCCGTGTTGGGCAACGCTTCTGTTACGTCGTCTCGAGTCGGAGATTGGCCCGTGGCCCGCCTGCCTCGCCTTCGTGTCGTCTTCACTGCGACCTGATTGCGCTTCTACGTGTCACCAATGCCGCCTGCGTGACGTCCACATTTCAGGGCGTCGTTACTTTTGAATGTTTTGGTCAAATTAAGGGCGAACCTCGGAAAATGCGAGAAAATAACAACATGCCCATAGCTTCTTTTGAGAACAACGACGTCTCTAGCCTCCTCCAAAAGCCTCCACTACAGTCTCCAACACAATCGAGTTTGATTGGAGGGGGCTCGCCGAACGGACAGAAGACTATTCCGAGGGCCACGCTGCCCCTAGAATGCAGAGGACATAGGACGCGAAAGACAGGACACAAGGGCACCTCTGATCTGGAAGGGTCGACCCACTAACTGAATTCGACTGCGCTTCGCCGATGACTGCTTCATCCTTGAAGACTAGCGATCTCGGTAGTCCTCCATAAAGGCAGATGATCGGCGGTGGACAAAACTCCCTTTAGCAAACCTCCCCTTAATGGAAAACGGCCTGTGACCGAAACCGACGGACCTGGACCCGCAAAAATGACGGCCGCGACGCCCTCTCGCGAACCGAAAACGGCCAATTCACTAATCGACGTGTCGGGGTAGGAGGTCTATCCACCTCCGAGATGATGCCGATGCTGGACCCCTTCCCTCGTTTTCAGCCTTTGGGGCCCGAAGGGGGGGGCCCTGGACGCCCCAGCTGAATCCGCCCGGGGACCTGGCCGGAAGGCACTCCGGGAGAGGTACAAGAGGTAGCGGTACTGGCATATGAGTTGCTCCCGATTCCTATTCACTGGAGGTGCAAGTGGTCGACTATAATTTTCTCAAGGCGCAGAGCTCACACAGCACACCCAGACCTGCTCCAGCCCCTACCCTCCAAACGGATGCTCTACTTGCGGAACCTGGCGAATCACACTATCCTAGAGAGTAGCTCCGACGTGACTCCAGTTAGAAGTATCCGGACTGTGCAAATATAGTTTGGAGGCAACCTGGCTGAAAACTAAAACCTTTCTCATGGCTGGTCTTTTGCAGCAAGACCGCCCTCAAGCTTCCTCCGCTGGCCCTCCCCGATAATCCCCACCTCGGTCCTGACAACGCCCCGTGCCCAAGCTTCCCTCGCTGGCCACAGCTTCCCGTGCCCAAGCTTCACTCGCTGGCCATCGCCAGACCGACCCCCAGCTCGATCCTATGCCGAGCCCGTTCCCAAATCCTCTTTGCCAGCGCAGCCCAACATTATCCACAGCTCGGTCCCGCGCCCTGGCCGTCCCCAGTGGCATGCGCTGGCACCGCACCCGACTGCTAAGTGCTCCCGCACGCTTCCATTGCGCCTGAATGTTTCTGCTTACTTCCCAACTTGCCTCTACTGTCCATTCGTTCTCTCTTGTTTGCAGACGTTTCCGACACAATCCGACACGACTGCTTCACCGTGCGTCCACGTTGCCCCGACTGCTTGGGGCCCGCACGCCATAATCACATTCTGCCGTCCCGACCCTCTGGTGCTTTGCATGCGCTGACAGATGCAACGCTCTCTGCCCACGTAACATTCACAAGTGCTATGAAACACCCCAACCTGTATCAACGCCGGAAATGTACTTCCATCAATCCTGCGCCGGATAATGGAGAGCGAGGGAATTTCAGAAAGACTGCAGTGGCAACATCAAAGATGCCGCTGCAGAAACGCGATGGCACGCAACCAAAACCACGCGAGGTTTCACGTGGCAACATGACTGTGTGCAGGGGGGGCACACCGTAGCGTGCGCGCAGGCCACGTTGTGCGACAAGCAGCGTCTACGCAGCTTGGGATCAAGGGTGAATCTCCTACTTCGCCTCTTTTCCGCGGCACGACGTGCGGATTTGTGCGCAACCACTCGAGACGGGGAACGATGTTCCATTCGAAGCGGATAACTGTCCCCCGTCCACCTCCTCCTCTTCCCTGTCACCTGTCCTTTTCACAAGCCCTTGTCCTTCCTCTTACGCCTCCGTCGTCAGTGGGAGGACGAGGGGAAGAGAGGAGGGACGGACGAGGTCGAGAGCGAATCGCTGGGGAACCAATTCGAGAAAAGGGGAGGACGAAGAGGAGCAGCAGGAGATGGCACAAGCAGCAGGAGGAGGCAGGATGCAGATGGGAGACATGGCCGTGGCGGTGGCAGTCGTTGTGAGGGGCAACGGTCGCAGAGATGGCGCGCTGATAAGTTAGAGAGGAACATCATCATATCCGTGTCTCGCATACCTCGCGCCTAAGCTACTGATGATCCAACGAGCTCCGCTGATTGCAAATACCAACAGCCGAAACAAGTCACCACTACGACTCGGATTGCCCCCCCCCCTCCCCGCGAGTTCGCACACTTTTTAGCAAGCGCAAGATGAGCCCCGTGGCAAGAGAAAGGAAACGGCACGACACGACGATGGGAAGAACAGACGACACGACAACGACACAAGCGCGGGGGGGGTGGGGGAGGGGGGCAAAAAGGGGAAGGAGAGGGCAGGGAGGCGCGCGCCGCTGGGCGCTGGCCAGCAGCCCCGCGAGCTCGAGGAGCTGCGGCGCCGTGGGGCGCAGCACGCGCCGGGCGGCCCTGCCGCGGGCCGCAGCCAGGAGCCGCCCCCCCCCAGGCAGGCCGAGGAGGCGCGCGCCGGCCCCCGCCTCGGGCCAGCCGCCGCGCCGGAGGAGGGCGCCCACCTCCGCGCGCACCTCCCCGGCGGCTGCGTCGGCCGCCGCGCCCGCGGCAGCGGCCGCCGCTTCTGCCCCCTGCGGTGGGCGCGGCGGCGGCGGCAGGCCCGGCGCCCCCCGGCCCGCGCGCCCTCGGCGGGCTTGGCGGCCGCCGGCGGGTCCGCGACCCCTGCGATCGGCCGTCGGGTCAGCCCACCGACGCCCCCCGGGCCGGGCGGGAGCCGCCCGGCCCCGAGCCCGGGGCGGGGCCGTCACCACGGCGACCGCAGGTGCGCGCCCCGCGAGTCGGCACACGAACTCGTACCCTTGCAAAGATGCGGGTTACGGATCCCAGCATCGAAGCTGACATGACGTCTGAATCACGCGCGGGTCCCGACATCGAATACGACGTGACATCTGAATCATGCACTCGCACGCAGTCTTTCTACGGCTGGTTGGACGAGGTCAGGTCACGCACATGCAAAACATGGTGACATGTCGCGCTCTCCGGAGTCAGTAAACAGTGAATTGCCAGATTGTGGCAACCCGACTTCGTGTGTGCGATGCGCGCCGAGGTGAGCTGCGAGCGCCTGCATCCTATCTGTGTTCGTGGAGCCATCGTGGAAAGAATTGGCAAACCACTCAAATGAGACAAACTGCTTGTTCGGCGAAGCTCCCCGTGCCGAACTCAGTAACAAAAGGTGGGTGAACAACCTGGTGGAACACGATGCTGAATCTTGAAGGCCGCCCTTCCATAAGAAAGGTCGGCGACATATGTGTGCTGCAACTGTACTTGGGGCTGAGAATGGAATTTGAACGGTCGTTTCAGCCAGGGCGGATCATTGGGTGGCGGCTTTTGCTCTGCGGGTGGGGGTCCCTGGGTGGTGGTTGGCAGCATTAGCTGTTTTGTTTGTTTTGTGTGTGTGTTTGTTTGTGTGTGCGTGTGTGTCAGTGTGTTTGTGTGCGTGTTTGTGTTTGTGTTTGTGTTTGTGCTTGTGCTTGTGCTTGTATTTGTGTGCGGTGGAGGAGGCGCTCGACCGACCCGCGCGGTCGCAGGGTCCGCGACCAAAAAGTATGTGGAACGGATGCGCTGGAGAGGGATGCGTATGTTTGTGGCCGTTGTGTCCATAAGGAACACGAAACGGTGAAGGCACTGGATAAGAAACCATGATATAGGGTCTGGAAGCCAGTGGAACTCCAATCGTGGATTGGCAATGGATATCACTGCCGCCCTCATCAGATAAGGAATCCCCCAGGGTCTGAAGACTCCTTGGCACATTCCTTAACGAACGCCCCCACCGTAGTCGCCCTTTCCTCCAATCCACATACTCATCCTCCTCTTCCTCCTCCACCTCGTTGCCATCCCTGGTCCTGTTGCCACCCGCTTCCACTCTCCTGCTGCTGCTGCGCCTTCTCCTCCTCCTTCCCATCCTTCCTCCTCCTCCTCCTCCTCCTCCTCCTCCTCCAACTCCGCCTCATCTTGATCCATCCATTGGAAAAGGAATGAGTCCTCCCTATCCCACCCTCCCCCCCCTCTTTCTCCCAATTTCCTCTGCCTCTTCCCTCTTCCTCCTCTTCCTCCTCCTCCTCCTCCTCCTCCGCCCTCCTCGCAGTCCTGAGCCCAGCAGCGCGTATAGGCCTCTTCCAAGCCGCTCCAAGTGCTCTGGCAAAGCCCTGCCGCTTCTGGAAAGCACCCGTGTCTGGCTGGCGCAACCGCGCCAACTCCTCGGCAGAGGAGGAGGCAGAGCACCGGGAGGAGGTGAGGAAGAAGAGACCTCTCCAGAGCAGGCGTAGTAGGAGGAGAAAGAGAAAAAACGAGAGGATGCGGGGGGGGGGAGGAGGGGGAGGTGAAGGAGAGGAGGGGGGGAGTAGAACCAGAGTAAATCCAGCACGAGCCGCTGATGCTGCAGTTCCAATGCCGCCCCAAGCCCCCTCCCCCCTACGAGATGCCCGTGCATTCCCGCGGGATCTGGGGGTCACACCCTCAGATGAGCAGCTGCCTCGGTACACGGTCCGCCCGCTGCTCTTACTTCGGGGTCCCGGCGCATATCGAAGCAAGCCTGTAAGCACCAGCAGAGCCAGGGTAAGGACCAAAGGCAAGGGGCGAGGGGCGAGGGAAAGGGGCACCAGTCCAGCAGCAGTCACTGCTACACGCTGCCCGGCTTCGCGGCGAGGGCCCCATAGGCCTGCAACAGGCTCATGGGCTCGGAGGGCTGGGGCTCGGAGGGTTGGAATCGGGACACACGTGTGGCCCTGTCGCACGCTCAAGGCGCGATAGCCGAAAAGACGTGGACCTGGGAGGGTTGGAGCGGTCAAGATTGAACGCGTTCGTGCAGCGAGCGAGCGAGCGCATCAACATTCGTACACGCAACGTGCCAAAATGTAAGCAACCAGCCATCCTGATGATTGACGCCATGAGTTGCGAACGCGCCTCAAGCAATGCATCGACATTGAAAACGGCATGGCCTCCATGGGTCCAACTGCTTGAGTCTTTCCAGCGCATCCGTTGGTTGAGTGTAGAAGGGGAAAAGCTGAGAGGGCACGAAACGGCCAACACGCATCACGCGATCGCACTGCCATCAAAACCGTGCACCCGAGCCAGAACAACAAGGAAGAGGACGGAGGAAGACCAGGACGAGGAGGGAGAGAAAATAGGTAAAGGTAAGTATGGAAGCGTGATGCCGAGGTACTGTTTTTCGATCGAACAATTGGGGCGGACAGCGACTCGCGCTGGGAAAGGCGTGCCCTGTGTCCCGATGCTCCGTTCTCGGATAGCTCCTGTTCCTCCTTCCTCCTTTCTCCGTCAACCTCCACTATGCCGCTTCCCTCGTGAATCGATCACACAACATATATAGTGCGCAAGGTGGAAATCGAATCATCATTATGTCCTCTTCACTCGTCTGCCCTTCCTCCCCCTCCCCATCCCCCTACTCTTACTCCTCGCATGATCATGTTCCTCCTCCCTACCAGCCACAACATGCATCATCCACCACCCATTGTCTTCATCACACTGGTCACCAACACCACCATCATCAATATCACCATTATCAACAGCACCATTATCATCAGCATCATCAGCATCATCAGCATCATCAGCATCATCAGCATCGTCATCGTCATCGTCGTCGTCATCATCACCTTCACCATCATCCTCAACATCGTCAACATCGTCATCATCATCATAATCATCATCATCATCATCATCATCATCATCATCATCATCATCATCATCATCATCATCATCATTATCATCATCAGCATCATCGTCATCATTAGCATCACCACTATCGATCTCACCACCCTCATCCTCCACACCACCGTCACCATGATCATCGCCATCATCACCACCACCACCACCGCCACCACCGCCGCCGCCAGCAGCAGCAGCAGCAGCGGCGGCCACGAGGCGCACCGCCGGCGGCATGCCGCCACCTTGTGCCGCGGGCCACACGCGGCCACCTGTTGCCGCGGGCCACACGCCCAGGCTGGGTGGGCCCCCACGGCCTCGGGAAAAGGGCGCGACATCCACAGCACGGCCCTGGCGGCGAAGGCCGAAACCGCCTGGGCCAGGCTGAGCCGCCCCAGGCGCGGGCAGCCCTCGGGGCCGTCGACCACCCCCATGGCACAGGCACCCACTCCCCGGTGCGGCCGCAGCGTGGGGGCGAGGCCGGCGCGAGGGTTGGACGCCCGACTCCTCCGGGAGAACCCCGGTCCGGGGCAACTCCGGCCTGGGCCCCCGAGGCGCGCATCTGTGGTTACCCCCGGCCGCCCCCAGCCGACGACGATTCGGGGCCCTGGCCTCCCCGTGCCTCCGCGCGGGCCCGTGGTCTGCGGCACCGCGGGCCCGGGCCGAGAGCTGCACGGCAGAGACAGAGGAGGAGGAGAAGGAGGAGGAGGAGGAGGAGGAGGAGGAGGAGGAAAGAGGCGGAGAAAGAGGAGGAGGAGAGGAGGAGGAGGAGGAGGAGGAAGAGCTGCTGACCCCTCCTGGCCATCCCGTGGACCACTGCACTGGGCCCTGCGAGAGAGGGTGCGCCCAGAGCCTCGGGCACGGCGCGCAGCCGCGGGCGGCGCTAGCCGGCGCGGCCGCGGGCGCCGCGGCGCTGGCGATGGCGGTGGCGCTGACGGCGGCCTCGGCGGGCGCCGGGCGGCGGCGGCGGTGGGCGACGAGGCGTGGCGCCACGGGTTGGCAGCGGGGGCTCGGGCAGCGCTGGCCCCTCGCTGCGGCGGGCGCGCAGCGGGCGCGGTCTGCCGGCGGCCCTCCATGGGCCGCCGCGCCGCCTGAGGCTGGCGCCCTGCGCCCGAAGCGGCGGCCCGCCCGCGAGGGTGGAGCGCGAGCCCGGGCCCGAGCCGCCGCCTCGGGCAGGTCGGCGGCACCGTCTTCTGCCCGACCTGCGGGCGCGACGCGGAAGGGTGGCGCGTATAGTGCGGCGAGATCTGTACAGATCCACGGATCCACCAACACACGCACTGCTTCCCCCGACGCGATGACGGCCGCAGTCAGCAGGTCAATGGCAGGTGGGGCGTGCACGGGCGGGTTTCGCCACCCCCTAACGCAAGCCAACAAAACACGGGCGAAACAAGCGAGAGGGAGGCGACAAACACGCGCGCATTCACTCTTGGGCGTCGCGGCCACGCGCGCGGCGGCGCGGCGTAGGGCAAATCAAGCGAGAGAGCAGCGAGCGGTCTGGGCCCCGGGCTCGCTAACGCACCATGGAGAACACGCGCGCACAGACAAACGCAGAACACACAACCGACAAACACACACACACACAAAACAAACACACACGCAGACACACACACACACACACACAAAACAAAAACCTTCTGGACGGCGGGCGCAGCGCCACGCCGTCCAGCCCGCGCGCGGAGGACCGCGCGCGCGCGCCCAGCAGCCGCAGAAAAAGAATCGGGGGTTGCTCCAGGTGCCCATGGCCCAAGGTGCCCCCAGCTTTTCGCCATCTTGGAGCCCCTGGGGCCCTCTGGGCCTCGTGATGGGGTGCTCTGGAGGCAGAGGGGGGCATCCCTGGAGGTCCTGGGGGCACCTTGGGCCAGGGGCACTTCTAGCAAACCCGAAATAAAAAGAGCAGGAATCAGTCAGACAAGCGCGCTCCACCACTCGCAGAGCAGCTATTCGCAAAATGGCCCCATTGCATTCAAACAACACTTGGCTGTTGGACGTTTGCGAGTAGGCATGTTGCGACGTAGCGGAAGGCCGGGCCACCAGGCCCGCGGCAGCGAGAAAGGGGGCAGGCACACACACACACACACACACACACACACACACACACACACACACACACACGCAGACACGCAGAAACACACACACAGAAACACACACGCGAGCACTTGGCACAGTCGAGTGGGCTCCTCCTGGAACGGTTGGCTCGCGGCCGCTGTCCGCAAGGACTCGAGCAGAGCCTTCAGGTCGTCCAAGGGCAAGTCCAGCGTCTGGTGGGCGCACTCTACCTGAGCGCCAGGCTGCGATCCGAGAGCACAAAGAGGAGGAGGAGGAGGAGGAAGCTGAGGGAGGAGGAGAAGGAGAGGGAAGAGAAATGAAAGACTAGGAGGAGGGTGGGCTGGCCTCCCTCACTCTCCTTCCTGCCTCCCTTCCCCCTCCTTCCTTCTCCCCCTTACTCTCTCCACAGGGGACAAGGACAAGACGGAGTATCTTTCAGGAGGAGGAACAGGATGAGGGGAAGCTTGAGGACGACGATGGCGAGACAGAGGGATATGGAGGGGGGCGGGCAGGAATTAGGGGAGGAACACAAAATGGAATACCTCTAAGGAGGAGGAGAGGGAATGAGTAGTAGGAGGAAGAGGAGGATGACGACGACGACGAGCGAGCGAGCGAGAGAGAGAGAGTGGAAAGGAGAGGGAGGAAGAGAATGAGGGAGAGCGAGAGAGAAGAAAGAGAGAGAGAGAGAGAGAAAGAGACATCGAAGAAGAGGAACATGGGGAAGGGGATGATATGGTGGAATACACATGGGAAGGAAAAGGAAAACGAGTAGGCGGAGGAACAGGATTCAGTGGACTAGGTATGAATGGGAGAGTGAGAGAGACAGAGAGACAGAGAGGGAGACAGAGAGAGAGAGAGAGAGACTGAGGAAAAAACGACATCCAAAGGAGCAGCCAGTAGGAGGGGTACCGCCCAAATTGCAGGTCACTCTAGGTTGCCCCGATATTCATATCAGGGACGCCACCAAGATGGTTCAAGAAGGCCCCAAGCAGTCTCCATATGGCCCCAAAGGACCCCAAGAGACGCCTCGTAAAGGCCCTGAGAGGACCTCCAAGACGGCCTCAAGAAGCAACAACTAATGAGTATCACCGAATGTTCGATACACTGTCGTATGTTCGCCGACGTTGGCTTCCAAAGCTAAAGATGGCCCAAGATGCATCCAAAATGGTCCCAAGGTGGCCTCTGAGGTCCCCAAGAGGGCACCAGAACCTCGGACGAGGACCCAGAGCCGGCCCACGAGAGCCCGACGACGGCCCTAATAGGGTCCAGAAAAATCCCCACGGCGGCGAAGAGATGCCCAAGAAGGCCCAAGAGGGCCCCAAGAGAGTCCAAGATGGCCCCGATGATCCCCAATAAAACCCAAGACGGCCAAACGTTCCCAATAAGCCCCTGAGTTGCCCCCGAGAGGGCGCCACCTGGGCACCAGAAAGAAGAGGACGAGGAGGAGAACAAGAAAGAGACGGAGGAAGAGCAGGAGGAGGAGGAGGAAGAGGAGCAAGAGGAGCGGGAGCACGGACCAGAGCGGGAACGAGAAGAGAGGCGGAGGTGGAAGCGGAAGAGGCCGACGAAGGGGAATCTGCAGACAGAGGGGGAGAGGGAGAGGCGAGAGGCGAGGAGCGGATGGGCAGGAGGAGGGGGAGGAGGAGGAGGAGGAGGAGGAGGAGGAGGAGGAGGAGGAGGAGGAGGAGGAGGAGGAGGAGGAGGAGGCGGAGGGAGAGCGGGCGGTCGCAGCGCCCACACGCGCTCACGTGCTCAGAGTGCCGCCGCTCGCGAGCCGAAGGGCACTCCTCCACACGACCGAGACGGGGGGGGCCAGCGGCAGAGGGCACAGCCCTTCAGATACATATATCTTCGGTGCTCCATACATGTATGTATACATACATATATATATATATACACACACGCATAGACAGAAAGAGGACAGGGAGAGAGAAGGAGAGAGAGAGAGAGAGAGAGAGAGAGAGAAACAAAAAAAAGGGAGGGAGAGAGAGAGAGAGAGAGCCAGAGAACCACCCACAAACACAACGTGGAGGGAGAGAGGGAGAGAGGGAGAGAGGGGAATCTGGAGAGAGAGAGAGAGAGAGGAGAGAGAGAGAGGAGAGGAGAGGAGAGGAGAGGGAGAGGAAAGGGAGGAAGGGAACGAGAGATGGCGAGGGAGAGATGGAGAGGGGGAGTGCGCGAGCGAGAACGAGCAAGAACGAGCCAGAAGGCAATGACAATGTGACATCATGAGAAATGGGACGAGGAGGACGAGGAGGAGGATTAGCAATGAGAGGGGGAGGGAGGGAAAAAGGGGCAGCAGCGGTGGCGACCGCCACATGTTCCCCAGCCCTGGTGCGGAGCCTCAGGTGATAGCGACGGAGGCCCTGCTTGGTACGAGCTGCTCGTGGAAGGAGCCCACGAACTGTCGTCATCGGGCTGTTCCTGGCGCTGGCTCTGCCCCCCGCTCCTAATTCCTCAGTCCTTGTTCTCACCAATCTTCACTCCGTCGCCTCCCCCGCAAACCCTCTTCCCCCCACCACGACTTTGAGCAACGTCGTGTCGTGATCGTCCTCCTCTTCCCCCTCCTCCCGCAGGGAGGAACATGTGGAGCACGGGGGGGAGGAGGAGAAGAGGAGGAGGAGGAGGAGGAGGAGGAGGAGGAGGAGGAGGAGGAGGGGGAGGAGGGGGAGGCGGAGGGAGAGCAGGGGGGGGAGGAGGAGGTGGAGGAGGAGAAGGAGGAGAGAAGGAGGAAAGGGAGGAGGAGGAAGGTGAGGAGGGAGAGGAGGAGAGAGGAGGAGGAGGAGGAGGAGGAGGAGGAGGAGGAGAGGAGGAGGAGGAGGAGGAGGAGGAGGAGGAGCAGGAGGAGGAGGAGAAGGAGCAGGAGGAGGAGGAGGAGAAGGAGGTGGAGAGGAGGAGGAGCGGCAGCAAGAGGAGGGGGAGGGGGGGCGGGAAGGTGGAGCAGGAGAACCAGAGTCTACCCACGATGGATCAATGATGCTGCAATAACGTCACCTGTCCCAAGCCCCCCCCCCCATCCGTAGCCACATACAGGCAAGATGGGTCAGATGCTAATTGTGAGAAGTACCCTCTATGAAAGACGGCCGCCTCATGGGCAAGTCCTCGAGTCATACACCATAGACCGAGGCAGGGTTCTAATGTTCAGCGGGCTGCCCAACTGCAGCCCCGAATTGAACGGGAACTGCCCTCCACGCGCGTGCAACTGCTATTCGGGCCATGCAGCCGGTCGGAATATCAGCCGCCGTCCGTGTATCGACTGCAGTGTTACAGATGTGCTACGTTCGGGTAGCTTGAAAAGAGGAAACCCATTCCGAAAACGTGACAACCTCCATCCGTGTAGCTGTTGCGCTGCATTGCTAGAGACGAGCGTGCGCGCTGCCACGGCGGAAGCACAATTTTGAAAAGGATCCCGCCTCCAACCCTGTACCTGCGGGGAACGTTTAAAGCGAATGCGCACGGCGATGAGGAGAGGGCCACATGTTGAAAAAAATCTCCATCCCTGTAGCAGTCGGGATCTGAAAGCTTCGGGGCACTCTATGGCGAAGAGGTCTCAAACAAAACGCCAGGGCCTGCCTACGAACACGTCTGATGGTCCGACGGGGAGGAGTTATTTGTGAGAAGCGAGGAAGAAGGCGGAGGAGGAGGAGGAGGAGGAGGAGGAGGAGGAGGAGGAGAGGAGGAGGAAGACTTGGACCAGTGTAAACCCAAGCCGCATCAACGATGCTGCAATACATTCTTCCTCCAAGTTTCCATCTTCAAATGCCCCTACGGGACTGTATGGTCATTGCGGCAAGTGCCCCAAATTGGAAGACGGCCGTCTGAAAATCTCCAACCGTGCCAGGCGCAGGTGCTGCTGATACCGTCGGTGCCAGCGTCGGCGCTGGCTGATGAAATGCGGCGGGAGGTCTGAACCAAAGGGGTCCCGAAGCATGAGTGGGTTAGCTCCGCGTTACGAATTGCTTTTGGCGTCGGTGCTGGCGTAGGCGGTGGGCGTAGCGGCCTGGTGGCCCATCAGCCCCAGCCAGACGCAATGGTCGCTGGGATGGGGGTGGCGCTGTATGTATAGGTAGAGAGTTCCCACGGGGGGGCAGGATTAGTCCGCCGCTCCACACCCTCACAGACAGCAAAAAGCCCCGGGGGTGCGTAGGAGCTGGCGCCGGGGCGATGCTTTGGAGCCGATACCGGCCCCGAGTCGGAGTCCACCGGCATGTCCAAATCTGGGGGTGCCAGCCTCTGCTCGCTCCCTGTGGAGACTCCCAGCGGACTCCTGAATCCTCACAGCCGGTGGGAACCTCGGACTAGATGTAAAGGTCGTCGCCCCGTCATCGGTGCAGACCGTATGACACAACAGCAATACCGCCAACGTCACCGCAGCTACAGGAGATGCGGTGGGTGCTGTCGTGAATGCTATTGCCGTGATGTACGCTCCCACAGAACGAGGCGGTTAACTCATGATAGCAGGGCTCGTGGTACATGTCCTATCCTTGGAGCTCCTCCAACTCGTAAAACATGTCTGTTTTTCTAATTCACGGAACTGCTGCCGGCAATGGCCGCACCGTTCCTCGAGGTCGCGACGCTGGTGCCGAATTCACAGCCTCTGTCGGAAATGTCGGCCACGTTCGCAGGACATCCCGTCGCCGTGCTTCCTCAGGTTGGCGAGCGTGGTGGGCACGGATGTGCGATGTCGGACGCATGAGGCTGGAGGTCACAGTGCCGCATTGGTGGAGGCTTGGGGTCGATGGGCGACGGTGGAGGCGGGGCGTGTGGTGCCGAAGGTTGGAGGTCAGAGTGCCGAATTGGCGGCGGCTGGGGGGCGATGGGCAGAGGTGGGAGTGGAGAATCGTATAACAAATCGTAAGGGAGGGGTCGTGGTGGTCGGAATTTCGTTGGACGCCGATATTGACGTCTTGATGGTCGTATCCAATGAAAGAAATCATGCCAACAAGCTGTGGTTTTTCCCAACCCTCCTGCGTTGGGTACTTGTTCCCAACCCTCCTTGGTTGGGTATTCGTTTTGAATAGAGCAGTGTGGTCGCGTCCTTCCTCCTCCCGCCTCCCGCCTCTTTCCTGCCTCTTTCTGTCTTGCCTGCGGGGGGCTGCGATCTGTGAAACTGTCGCCACTTTCGAGGCCTGCTGGGGGGTCCTGCATAGAGGGTAATCGCGGCGGATTCAAATTAGACCTCGCCATCCCTGGGGGGCTGCGATCTGTGAAACTGTCGCCACTTTCGAGGCCTGCTGGGGGGTCCTGCATAGAGGGTAATCGCGGCGGATTCAAATTAGACCTCGCCATCCCTGGGGGGCTGCGATCTGTGAAACTGTCGCCACTTTCGAGGCCTGCTGGGGGGTCCTGCATAGAGGGTAATCGCGGCGGATTCAAATTAGACCTCGCCATCCCTGGGGGGCTGCGATCTGTGAAACTGTCGCCACTTTCGAGGCCTGCTGGGGGGTCCAGCATAGAGGGTAATCGCGGCGGATTCAAATTAGACCTCGCCATCCCTGGGGGGCTGCGATCTGTGAAACTGTCGCCACTTTCGAGGCCTGCTGGGGGGTCCTGCATAGAGGGTAACCGCGGCAGATCAAATTAGACCTCGCCATCCCTGGGGGGCTGCGATCTGTGAAACTGTCGCCACTTTCGAGGCCTGCTGGGGGGTCCTGCATAGAGGGTAACCGCGGCAGATTCAAATTAGACCTCGCCATCCCTGGGGGGCTGCGATCTGTGAAACTGTCGCCATTTTCGAGGCCTGCTGGGGGGCCCAGCACAGTGAGGGCCACGGGCGGATTCAAATTAGACCTCGCCATCCCTGGGGGGCTGCGATCTGCGAAACTGTCGCCATTTTCGAGCCTGCTGGGGGGCCCAGCACAGTGAGGGCCACGCGCGGATTCAAATTAGACCTCGCCATCCCTGGGGGGCTGCGATCTGCGAAACTGTCGCCATTTTCGAGGCCTGCTGGGGGGCCCAGCACAGTGAGGGCCACGCGCGGATTCAAATTAGACCTCGCCATCCCTGGGGGGCTGCGATCTGCGAAACTGTCGCCATTTTCGAGGCCTGCTGGGGGGCCCAGCACAGTGAGGGCCACGCGCAGATTCAAATTAGACCTCGCCATCCCTGGGGGGCTGCGATCTGCGAAACTGTCGCCATTTTCGAGGCCTGCTGGGGGGCCCAGCACAGTGAGGGCCACGCGCGGATTCAAATTAGACCTCGCCATCCCTGGGGGGCTGCGATCTGCGAAACTGTCGCCATTTTCGAGGCCTGCTGGGGGGCCCAGCACAGTGAGGGCCACGCGCGGATTCAAATTAGACCTCGCCATCCCTGGGGGGCTGCGATCTGCGAAACTGTCGCCATTTTCGAGGCCTGCTGGGGGGCCCAGCACAGTGAGGGCCACGCGCGGATTCAAATTAGACCTCGCCATCCCTGGGGGGCTGCGATCTGCGAAACTGTCGCCATTTTCGAGGCCTGCTGGGGGGCCCAGCACAGTGAGGGCCACGGGCAGATTCAAATGAGACCTCGCCATCCCTGCGGGGCTGCGATCTGTGAACCTGTCGCCACTTTCGAGGTCTGCTGTGATCCCCGTTTTCGAAGTGGCTAGGAGTGCTCAGGAATTGTAAATCATCAGCTTTATCAAGCCCTTTCCCTGTAGCCAGTGTCCTGCGAGTCTCCCGAAGTCCGTCTGCAGACATATGTAACCCTCGCTCCGTCATCGCCCCCTTATAAAGCATCCTAAACTATTTGCGCCCCGCTTTTGCGCAGGGGTTGGGCACGTCGCCAGGGTAATTTTGAATAGAGCACTGCGGTCTCCACCTTCCTTCCTTCCTTCCTTCCTTCCTTCCTTCCTTCTTCCTTCCTTCCCGCCTCCTCCTCCTTCTCTTGCGGGAGGGGCTGCGATCTGTGAAACTCGCCACTTTCGAGGCTGCTGGGGGCCCAGCGGAGTGACGCCCTACGGGGATTCAGATTAGACCTCGCCATCCCTGGGGGGCTGCGATCTGTGAAACTGTCGCCACTTTCGAGGGCTGCTGGGGGCCCAGCGGAGTGACGCCCTACGGGGATTCAGATTAGACCTCGCCATCCCTGGGGGGCTGCGATCTGTGAAACTGTCGCCACTTTCGAGGCTGCTGGGGGGCCCAGCGGAGTGACGCCCTACGGGGATTCAGATTAGACCTCGCCATCCCTGGGGGGCTGCGATCTGTGAAACTGTCGCCACTTTCGAGGCTGCTGGGGGGCCCAGCGGAGTGCGCCCTACGGGGATTCAGATTAGACCTCGCCATCCCTGGGGGGCTGCGATCTGTGAAACTGTCGCCACTTTCGAGGCCTGGGGGGCCAGCGAGTGACGGGGATTCATCGCCACTAGACCTGCTGGGGGGCCCACCAGTGACGCCCTGGGGGGATTCTGCGATCTGCGTGAAACTGTCGCCACTTTCGAGGGCTGC